TTAGAACCACCCTTTCTACCTGCTTCTTCTTCGTCTTTCGCACAGGTAGAGGAGGGAGAGGTCCGAACTAATTGCATGGAAGTTGTGTACTTCTCTTCCTTTTTCTGTTCTATTCCCAGGAGCGCAGAGCACAGCGGTAATGGTGTGAATTGGAATAAACAATGGGGGGCATTATTAATAAATTCCACGAAGCGCGAACGCAAACAACCGTTTTATCGGGATCAGCGGGTCGTTATCATCTGTAAATTGCTGTTTGCCGGCAAACGAAAGCTCTTGCCATTTGGATTGGAAAGCGATCTTTTAAGGATACGCGTCGAGCACCTGTCACTTTGACAGTTATATCAATGCAGGCTCCGCCCGCGCACCAATTATGCAAGGTATGCGCCGCGGTCGGCAGTCTTAACGTGGCATTTCATAGAAATGACTTGCCACTTTTCCCATTCAATCATAACATATATGTTAGGAAGATTATGTGTACTACTTACATAACGTTACTTGACAAGTAATTTGTCAAGTATAGCGCAATATTCAATCTACTACATACATATTATAATTATTATCAATGATTTATCAGTCTTAACATGTACGTCTGCGCGCTTCTCACTAAACAATACTTGACAAGTAATTCATCAAGTATATATTGCAGTATAGCATTCAATAGCAAAGATTTATAATAATAACATTGATAATTTATTATAATCTACTTTCTTCCCCTTCACTTAAAATATTAATTATACCAAACCAAATGTTTTGGTTATTGAAACTAGTTATATAAGGTTAATTTAAATTATTGACAGTTTTTGACATTTGAATGAATCCAATTGGTGCGTTAGTCGATATCGCACGGAATCCTGCCAATGGCGCATTTTATTTTCCTGGTTAGACTCCGCCCGTTCGGGATTTTGACATTGAAAGTTCCGCGACGTCTATTCATAGGCGTTTGCATTACTAATTTTGTATTTATAAGAATGCGCCCGGCGCTTCCGCCTGTCTTTGTCTCGCCACCATCGAAAACATCAACAAACGAATTGCAATAATATTTATTTCATTTCATCTAAACTATTTGAAACTAATCAATTCATTTGTATTTAACAATTCATTAAGTTTTTTCAATTATTTACAGTTTCTATAAAAAAAAGTTCATTTTGTACTTAAAACAGTGAAATTTTGAGTTAATTTTGACATCAATGTTGAGTTAAGTTTCAAGTATTTAAGTTGCATTATTTTAAAGATTACGAAAACAAATTATAAGAAAATTCTGTACTAATATTTGTTATTGTAAAAAATCTTTATAGTTTATAGAATATTTCTGCTATTTTCTGCAATTAACTTAATTAAGATTTTATAAAAAATATATTTGTAAACATACTAAATTATAAATATTAGAAATATGATGTTTTTGTATTACTTCAACTTTAATTACTTTAACTTATTCAATAAGGAAATACAACATTATTGGAATTGAAGAAACTTTCTGGTTTTGCAAAAGACAAATCTATTCAAAATGTTTACATTCACATAGTTTCAGGTATAAATATTTCATTGTGATTCCAATGACCGGAAACACGTGTGTCTATACAAATTTCTTATTGAAATATCGATGCTGGAAGGCCATGAACTACCTAAGTACGTGATTTAATGATATACTAATAAATAATTACATACTCTTATTTCTGATCTGATGTTTCCATACCGATTCTTAGTGAAAAAAACAACGTCTTTGCATTAATGCGTGTTCTACAGATTATTTTATTTTTTTTCATTTGCATCGTGCCATTTATTATTGTTACGCAATGTGTTTTTCCTCTTTTGTATTCTCGCTCGGAATTGGACCAGGCTGGAGGGGAAAAACTGCACGTAGCAGCAGCAGCAGATCTCGTAATTAACTGACGGTCGGTCATTTGCGGTGACTCACGTGTTTTCGTTTAGCCGGTGAAATTTCCGCATTCGAAATCGCACTTGTTGTTGATGTTGTGCTGTGCACAGCTTCGCACCTAGAATTAACACACTTTTTTTATTGTTATTATTTTGAGCCGTTGCACAAATTGCATTTTCTAAGACCCGCTTTTTAATCCAACGGTTAACGCTCACCGGCGAAGGTTAACGCGACAATTAGGCGATCGTAAACATGCAAAAATGTATATATTTTCAACAATTGTTTCTGTTTAGAAAATTGTTTATGCAATTATATTTCATAATTAAGATATTTCTAATATCAACAGTTTACACTTAAATTGACAATTTTAAAATGCGTTATTTAAAGAGTCAACTAAATTTGTGAGACAATTTTTAGATTTCTCTATGAAAAAAATGTCGCGAAAATTATATTACATTTGTATTTCTAAGCTTTCATATTTTAATTAAAATTTTAGTCGTATATAATTCATGTTCATGTAAATCTTATATAAATTTCACTGTATTAATTAAGCAATTAAAGTTTGGTATAATCTCTCCGGTATTTTATGAAATAAGAATCATCAATGTTGTGTTATATGATATTGTAATAACATTGAAACTTTTATTTACGTTTATCCTTGATTGGCATTGTGTCTCGTTGTTTATTTACTCTAGTTCTCAAATGCGTTCTGAAAATTATGGTTTGTTATGGCTGCGAATCTCTAGGGTAAATAATCAATTTAAATAAAAGCACTCTACTAATGCAGATAAGGAACAATATTGCACGGAAAAGCATTATTGTGACTGGTTGTTAACTAGTGTATAATTATTATGCAACAATGATGCAATTAATCATTAGGTCGTTAACCTTTCGTATACAGTGTGAAATAATTATATCTGCTTTTATACATAAATATTGCTTAAATTTAAATGATTTTAAGTGTATTTTACTTAATTTAATAGTAATTTGTATCAATTTTTTGTTACACATTTCATAGTTAAGCAACGTCCATTGTTGTGGTTTATTTAATAAGTGAATTTGGTGCTAAATAATCGTATTCTAGTACAATTAATATGTTTTGCTTGAGAAAAAAGTCTGGAGAAACGCAAATTTACATAACGTTTACAATTAATTGGGGAAATTATAAATACGAATGTTGATGACTTTATTCGATATCAGCATAATATTTATTATGTATCACATATTTATAAATAAACTCGTAGATTAGCGGAAATGTTTTTTTTTCAATCTGCATGTGATAATTATTATGTGAGCAGTGATATTTGTGTTATCGCATTGCTCGAACATTTAGCTGACTTAGTAAAAGTTGGAAATTGCTGTTAAGAACATGTGAGGGGAAAAGTATAATTAAGTATAACTAAATATAGCTAAGAACAGGTTGATTTGCATCACATGGATTATTATTGTTTACATGTACGCCGCTTTATAATATTGACACGAATTCCAAAGCGCAATAATATTTTGCTCCATATTTTCCTTTGAAGAGATTTTTGAGAATGTCATAGAAAAGTGACAAAAAAATGCGTTTTGATACACTATTAAAAAGCAATTTTGAGGAATTAAATTTTGAAATTCTAGGTTAATAATGTTCTTAAATGTTCTTACTGAAGACAGAATTAGTAAGTTTCCAATTGGAAAGTTTATTGAATCAACTGCAGAACTATTAGAAATAATATAAAACTAATAAATTTATAAATGAGAATTTTGTTAATTATCTTGCAGTTGACATCTATATGAAAACATTTGATGGTTATGTTCTATTGTCAGATAATAATACTGTATAATACAGATGTTCATCAGATCATAAAAGTAGATCCAGTGGTGTGAAACGTTCCAGTTGTTGAATTGTTAAGCTATTGTCAAGTTGATTTATAGGTTTGGGTAACTCCTAGTTTCCTCTACTGCTTCCACTTGTCTCAGAGTATCCCCTTATCATCTATTATTGAGAGCACTATGATTATGTTTCTGAGAAATTTAAGATAATTTATGTTTAATGAATATAAATGAAGTTTTAGAATGAATAAATGGAATAAGCAATAATAATGTAGGAATGGAAGAAATTAAATTTGCAATTCTATGTATTGGCTCCGGTCGTAGGCGGCGATCGGATATGATGGGTGTATAAAAAACAAATGAAGGGAATAAAACTGGGAATGCGATGGATGTGAGTCTTGGTCGTCGGGACAGACCACTAACTTAGCAAGTGCAGCACACAGCATAGGTGTTCTGTGACATCTAAAATTACTTTATTAACCTCGGTATATTTAGAATTGCCTGTGTGGGCCCCGATCTCCACCACACGCAAAATGCTAATTGTGCAGACACTCGTTGCGTGGGCCACAGAAGAGCCCAGAGAGAACGCCAGAACCTACAGAGAGAAAGCGAATGCTTGCTTGCTTATAGCATACTCCACCTATGCTGTTATCAAACGAGATTGGTCTGTCGGTCATGCACCTGTTTATCTGGCTCCCATATATCAGCCTGCGAGATCATTGTACACCCCATTTCGCCTGATGGTTATGTATATAATTGCTTATGCAACCTGTTGCGAATCGCAACGATCGATTGCACCCCTAGCGACAACAGCTGCGGTCTACACTCTCATCCTCTCCGCTACATAGTTGGAAGCCAGCTAGGGTGTGGCCATTCCGCACACGCTCTGCGCCACCCTCCCTTCTCAATTCAACTTCTTTTGTACGGACACTAATGCGATTATGGCCCGGCAATAACTTGCCAAATGCAATCAAACAGCAAAAAAGGCCTCTTCCTCTCGCTCCCCCACCAAACCAAAATTACTCAATCACAAGGAAAATGATCTAATTGTATGCAGTCTACCTCTTCGCAATGCAGAAGCTTTGCATACAAATTCAATGTTTATCCTTGCCTTTTTTTTTCATACCTCGATCTACAATGCACACAATAATAATTGTGTATTTTTATGTCCGTCCTTGTACAATTTTAGATGCGCGTATTTGCACGGAATGACGCATCATCCCGTCTCGAAACCCCGTTTCCATGCTCTATGTTGTTACGCAATGAGTATGCAGTTGCATTTAATTATTTCGTTGTTTCTTTATTGCAGTTTTGGAGGCCGGCCTCGTGGATAATGTAGGTGATAGCGGCGAAGAATCCGAAGACGAGTGGAACTACTTCAAAGGAGGCAAGGAGAATATAAACGCGGCTACTACCCAGCAGCAGGTAAATTTAGCGCATATTTTTTTTTAATGTATTTTGACTATGGTTTCTTTGTTTTTGTTATAGTTTGTAAGCTCAGAAATTTCTGCTGTAAGTCCAGTGGTCCAGAGAGTCGACGAGGAGGACGAAGAAGAAGCCAACAATATGTCTCAACTTAATCCGGATGCTGCAGAGTTCGTGCCGATCTCGCCAACTCGCAACGTAGATTCACCAGTATGCAGAGCTCTCGTGGAGGAATCCATCTTGTCGCAGTCCCCCAGGAGGGTCACCAAGAACGTGGACATTAATCTCCCGAAATTGAACGATTTCGTGCAAGAGGCAAAGAACAGGCCGAGCGGTTGTTTCAGCAATGGTCACGAGAATGTAAGTACAATTCGATTAAAGGTTTATTTATTTTTTATATATATAATTTTTTTATAAATTTAGGGCCACGAATTGTCTTCCCAGGAACTCATGGAGAACTTCCTGAACGGCAAAAACATGGAGGAAATTGAAGATCAGCCGACGAGCACGCCATCGAAGATCGCAGCATCTGATGAATTCCACTTCGGTCCCAACGCTGCACTTTTCTCGCCCAGCCGTCACCTCTTCGATCAATCTGAGGCTTTGTCCACCAAAGCTACTTTCGGCGGTGACGATTCCAACCTGAGCATTCACTCGTCCATAATTGGAGACTCCAAACAAGAGACTGACCCCATGTCAATGTCCTTCTATCAAGACAAGGACGAAGAGAATCCTTTCGACTTGAACAAAGTCCATGTGCTTCCAGAGAACTTGGAAGAATATTTGAACCAAGAACAGACCACCGACTTGGACAAGGCCGAGGTATGCGAGTTGCCAAAAACCCCAGAACCAACCATGGACGAGAACTTGTGCGGCGATGAAGAGAATATCTGCCAGACCACCGTTGAAGTTTTCAAGTCGCCAGAATTGTGTGCCAAATCTCCGGAACTTTCCGAGCAAGATGATATGCTCTGCGCCAAAACACCGGAAATATCCGCAAAGGAGGATCTGGTCTGCTCGCTCCCAGAAAAGGACGATTTCGACTGCTCCAAGTCGCCGGCGTTCTCCGACAAGGAGGACCTGATCTGCGCCAAATCTCCAGCGTTCTCTGATAGAGACGAGTACGTAAAATCACCAGAAGCGGACTACCTCTGTCCAATGAAATCACCCGTCTGCGAGTTGTCCAAGTCTCCATTCTCCGAATTCGATTCAGAAGCGAAGTCTCCTGAACCAGAGCTGTGCGCCATGAAATCTCCCGAACCAGAAATGCCTAAGGAATACGAGACTGAACCGATCGATGCCGCCAAATCTCCTGAACTTGAGATGCCGGTATCGCAGTCTCCAGACTTTGAAATTATTGATGCTAAGTTCGAACAGAAATCGCCGGAACCGATCATCTGTCGCATGCAAACCCCGGAGCTTTCTAGCGAACCGCAATTCAGTGATCTGCCGGAAGCGGAAGTATGCCAAGAAGCTGAATTATTGGATGAAGATGAATCGGAAGTTTCCGATATGCTGAAATCGATGGAACCTGAATTATTGGTTATGAAGACCCCAGAACCCGAACTGTGCACTTTTACACCAGCAGAAACACCGGATTCTGAGCCGATTGCTTCGCCCGAGGTTGAATTACTGGAAGCATCCGAACCAGAAGTATGCGCAATGAAGTCTCCCGAACCAGAATTATGCGAGATGAAATCGCCTGAACCAGAAATTTGCGAGATGAAGTCTCCGGAACCGGAGATTTGTGAAATGAAGTCGCCAGAATCCGAAGTATGCGAGATGCCGCAAACACCCGAGCTTGAAGAATGCGCTATGCACTCATTTGAACCAGTTTGCGACATGCAAAACACAGAGCCTACAATTGGAGACATCAATCTTCGTAATCCAGAATTTTCTGTTCCGGAATCGCTAATGTTCGTTTCCAAATTACCGGAATCCGAGACTTGCGAAATGCAATCTCCCGAAATGCCGGAAGTGTGTGAAACACCGGAACCTGCAATCCGCGTTATGCGTACCCCCGAACCAGAGCTATGCGCTGCGAAATCACCGGAACCGGAACTATTCGCCGTAAAGACTCCAGAACCAGAAGTATGCGATATCAAGTCGCCTGAGCCAGAGCCCGAAATCTGCGAGCTGAAGTCTCCGGAACTGGAAGAACGTGAATTATTGAAATCTCCGGAACAAGATGTATGTGAATTGAAGTCTCCAGAACCGGAAGTATGTGAATTGAAGTCTCCGGAACCGGAAGTATGTGAATTGAAGTCTCCAGAACTGGAGATCAAATCACCAGAGCCAGATGTCTGCGAGATGAAATCGCCTGAGCCCGAAATCTGCGAGATGAAATCGCCTGAACCCGAAATCTGCGAGATGAAATCGCCTGAACCCGAAGTCTGTGAGATGAAATCCCCTGAATCCGAAGTCTGCGAAATGAAATCGCCTGAACTTGAAGTTTGCGAAATGAAATCGCCTGAGCCGGACGTCTGCGCGATGAAATCTCCGGAACCAGAAGTCTGTGATTTGAAGTCGCCGGAACCTCAAATGTTGGAACCAAATTTGATCGAGGACAAATTACCCGAACTGAATGCCGCACAGTCCCCAGAGCCTGAGATTATCAAATCTCCTGTGTCTGATATGACCATTCCGCTGGATGTAAAGTCGCCTGAGGAGGAAGAGAAATTGTCGCCATTGGAGGACATCACTTCTTCCGTTAAGGATGATGCCGAAGTCATGTCGCCGATTGATTTGAATTACGCGCAAGAATTGTCGAGCGCTGTACAAGAAAACATCACTTCTGAGATGTCGTCGCCTCTGGAGAGCAAAGATTTTGCTCCGAAACAAACAGAACTGTTGGAAGATATTGCTGTACCGTCTATGAATGTTTCCGAATGTCCTCTTGAAACAGTAGAGAAACCAGCGGAAGAAGCCGAGAAACCAGTGACTGAACCGGTTGCCAACGAAGCAAGTATAGTTCCTGAAGCCGTAGGTGTTGCAGCCGCGGCTGTCGTTGCAGCCACAGCTGTCGCCGCTACCAAAACTGAAAAGGACAAGAAGCCAGCTGCCAAAAAACCCTCGACTTTGACGCCTAAGAAGCCTACAGCGATGAAAACTGCCGCCACTCCGACGAGGACCGCCTCCACACCGACGAAAACCACGCCTAAGCCTCCAATGAAGGCTACTCCTAAATCAGCCACGAAGACTCTGACTTCTCCGACTAAAGCCGCGGCCCCTAGGACACCATCGACACCGAAGCTTGCATCAAGAACGACCGTGGGAGCATCTCCAAAACCAAAAACTCTTTCTACGTCTTTAAGCGCTCCAAAAGCTGCAGATAAGAAGCCGCTGACCAATGGAGATGTTAAGCCTTCACTGGTTGCCAAGAAACTCACGTCGACCACTAAAAGCGCTAGCACTACTACAGCGGCGAGACCGACCACCACCAGGCTGAGCCCGACGAAGCCGCCGACTGCAAGGTCCTCAGTTCCTGCAGCTTCGAAACCTTTGACCGCTACTCGCACGACCACTACAGCGGCTCCGAAACCGAGACCGGCAACAGGCCTTTCCAAAACTACGACCACCACAACCAGAACCACAACAACGAAGGTAATGTTCTGCTTCCTTAATATATGTATACATATATATATCTAAACTATATTATTTTTTAGACGGCAGCACCGATTGGAGCCACCAGAACTGCCGCTAAGACTGCGTCTACCACGGCCTCCAAAACGAGTACTACCACCGCTGCTGCGCCCAGAGCTCGCGTGCCTTTAAGTAAGCCTGCTGCGAAAGCTCCAGACGCGGAGAAACAGAACAAAGAGAACGTGAACAAAGCAACACGCACCACCACGAGGACCATTGGTTCCACCACAGCGACGGCCGGAAAAACTTCCACCACCACAGTGCGCAAAACAGAAACTAAGGTATGCATAAACTTTTCATTATTATTTAGAAAACTTTGTTACACAAAAACATATATATTTTTCATCTCGAGATTTCTATTATCTAATTGAATCATATTTTGATGATGACAAATTTGTATTAGTTTGATGCACAGTCTACAGTTTGTATTGTTATTTTTGTAGACTGTTGGAAATGTCCGAAGCGCCACGTCGAAGACCACCACTTTGACATCGGCGAAGATTGGATTGAAGAAAGCCCCGGCCACGACGAAGACCACCACCACGAAGACGGCGGTCTCTAAGATATCCCCGAAGCCCAAAGAGAACGGCCTACTAACGAACGGCGGCGTGACCGAGGAGATCACGACGACCACAACAACGACAATGATCACGAACTCCGACAGTCACGAGCTGCTGAAGGACCTCTCGCCAGTCGAGAACATCATCCAGGACAACTCGCAGCTCGTCGACACTTCTTCAATTGCCGCAGACTGAATTCACTTCACCCCTTCTTTTTCACTATTTAAAAAAAAATAATATAAAAAAACAACAAGCAGAAACATAAAAAAGAGTAATAAGAAAGTGGAGGAAGCAAAAAAAAAGCAAGAATTAATACTATAATAATTTTCTTTTTTAAATATTTTATATTTTATTGCTCCAATATTATATTATATTATTATTATTATTCTGTGTGTATCATAGAGCTGTGGATTATATAAATATTATTAATTATTATTACTATTATTATAGGACTGAGTTCACTTGAGAATATGAAAGAAGAAAAAAAAATAACACGAATGATGTAAAAGGAAAATATATGGGAGTCGCTTGAAAGAGAACGAAAGCGGACATTGCGGTAGTTTTAAATTTGAATGGAAATATTAAACAAACGACAAAAAAAAATACAAAAAGAGGTGTGGATAATAAATTTACATTTAACTATTTAGAGAACTTAAATTATATTATCCTATTTGTATTATTATTACTGAATAATTAACCAGTTAATGAGTGGCGAATTCTTTTTTTTATACGATATATAAGAACACATAGACGACACACATACACACACAGAAGAAGACACACAGTAATGTTATTTACGTATTAACGCTGCTGAGCCACTCGTCGTTAAGACTACTTTCTTCTCTTTTGATTTTATTCTGGAAATTTCCTTATAGTTCGCTCTCCTACGAGTCGATGGAAAAACAAAATATTTTTTATTTTATATATATATACATAATTTATTTAGTTGTTTTTTTTTGTCTATTAGGCTTTAGCTGCTTAGGTGTGCTGCAAAATACTACTACTACTACTATTATTATTATTATTTTTTTCTATATTTTAATAAATTGTGATTGCAAAATGCACGTTCTTTCTTTATATGTAAATATGTTTAGAAATTTATGAAATATTTGTGTTTTTTCGTTTTCTCTTTTTCGTTTTTCGGATTTTAATCGCTTTTTCGGCCGGCTTAAGTAAACCAAAACTATTTAAATAATATACATGTTACTACTTAAAAGAAACACTTCGATGAGAATAATAATAAAAAAAAAGAATAACTTATATAAATATATATTACATACACATCTTACACACGTAAACATCTATACACACACTTGAATTTTAGTGCCCAACTTTTGTTTCAGCTTCTATATTACTTATATATTATATTATGCGGTGATGAAACACATTTCTAATATATTATGTATGGTTTTCTATCCCTTTCTTTTTTTCTTACAATTATATTTTATACATATTGAAATATTATTATTGTTATTTGTGAACGAGTCGAGAGGAAAGCTATAAATCATCTACTATTCCCGTTTAAATTATCGAGCACAAATAAAACCGAAAATAAATCTTTATATCAGAAAGAAACACCTTTTCCTATTGCTCATTTATATTGAATATGAAGGTTTTAGCTCGAATAAATCCATTAAATTAATTGGAACCAGCAATTACTTTTTCATATAACACAATTATATAAAAAGAAAATTTAATCAAATTTATTTTTAATTTACACTTCTTTATATATTATTACAAACAATATAAAGTATAGTGTTGCAAGCGACTACTTCTCTTGACACTAAAATTATTAGGTAAGTTAGAAACAATATTTTATCAAATTCCGAAACAAGTAAGTTTTAACGTGGGCCGATTTTGTGTGATTTTGAATGAAAATTGTAAAAATCATATCCACAGTAAGTTCATTGTCAAACAGCAATAACTTTAAAGTAAATACAGTGGAACCTCGCTTAACGAGCGACTTTTCGCATAACGAGTGACGATGAGAAGACCACCACTTTGACATCGACGAAGATTGGATTGAAGAAAGCCGATAATAATTCTGCGCCTTCTACATCATTTTTAAAACTTGTGTACACATATTATGTGTATTTTTAATATATTAACCATGTTCGATTTTCTTTGTCATTTTTGTTCAAGCGGACTATACTTTGCAAATATAATTTGTGTTTACTGTAAATGCAAAACACAAATGTATTGTGACCAACGATTATTATAATATATAAACACACTATGTACGCTTTTTTATATAAACAAATATTAAAAGTATGAAGAGAATTCCACCAAGTCCCCGAATTGATACAAGTAATATAAACAAATATAATCTCACTTCATCGTGTGTGAATTGGAAAACAGTTCATGGTGTTAGTGGTCATTCTAGTTGCCTTACTGTTGTTTGTGATCACAACATTTTCAAACTTGTGTTCAGACATGTTATTTGTGATTTTTTTGTGCAAAATTTAATAACACTTGCATATCTGCGAATAAAAAACCAAAAAATCGAGACATTATTGTAATTTACATTAGTTTATATGGGGAAAACTGTTACTTTACATTAGTTTCTAGTGAATACGAGTAAAAATTCGGAAATTTTGGAATATCTTTAATTTGAAGAAAATAAATTAAATTTAAGGAAGCAATAAATTATTGTTTTAACCACTGAATGCAATTAAAATAATATAAACCAATGAATTTACAAATTTATTTTAGTTAGATAATTATATTAAATAAAATAATTCACGAATTACATTCTAATACAGGTATCCCCTGTAGACTTACGAACTAGTTCCGATCCAAAGGGTTGTTCGTAAATCTAATTTGTTTGTAAGTTGGGGAATTAAAAAAAAATCAAAATATACTTCTCTTGCCACACTTTATCATGGTTTTTACATTTATATATGTAAAATTCCGTATTACTGACTGCATAAAATAGATTAAAATAAACAAAATACTTACGAATACTTTTCAATGTAGACTTCACAATTATTTAATAAAAAACGACAAAAGAAACAAATGCAACAAAAGAGATAGTACATCCTCCAAAAATATTATATTTTATTAAAGAAATTATCAATTTTTATTTGGACAGTTAATTTTTTTCACTATATATCTCCTTGCAACAAGTTGGAGCTTTAAGAATTTTGTTCGTAAATCCGGGAGTTCGTAAGTCGGTGGAAACCTGTATACTCAATAGATTAGATTAAACTTCAAAGTTTTAAAACACAAACAAGCCTAATTATCAGTTATATATGTAAAAACTAGAAACACTTATATATTTTTATGTTGTACATAACTTTAAAAATATGTATGTTATTTTGATATAAGAAGTATTTCATTATATCAAATTCATGATTACTAATTTATTTAAACTAATAACGAACTGATAGTTTTCTAAAATATTTCATAAATTGTTGTAGCTCAATTGTTGTATACTGTACTCAAATGAGAACTTAACATAATATCGATATAATGATATCTAACCATTGATATTTTTGTAGGAGAGGAACTCCATCATTGGGAACATAATAATATACAGTGGAACCTCGCTTAACGAGCACCTCGGATAACGAGTATTTCGCTAAACGAGCAAAACGAATTGTAAGAAAAATGACTCGCTTAACGAGCGACGTTTCGCATAACGATGATAAGAGAAGTCCCGAATTGCGCGCCTTCTACATCTTTTTAAAACTTGTGTACACATATTATGTGTATTTTTGAATATGTTTCACTATACGAGTAAAAATCCGGAAATTTTGGAACGGATTAAACTCGTTAAGCGAGGTTCCACTGTATGCTAGTACAAAATTGTTGTTACTTCTTACAATGATTAATAGGTATGGTATTAACTAATTATGTTTTTAAAGGGATAAAAATAGTTAATAAGAATGTTTAACCTGTTACCATTTTAAATAATATATATGTGGTTGCCTATGCATTTATCGTGAATTTTCATAGATACTGAAAGAATTATGAAGTTAATTATGTTTACATTATGAAAATATTAGTAGGAACTAACATTTTGTTAAAGTAAGTTAAGTTCTTTAATGATACTTTGTTTAAAAGGTACATGAACTTAAAATTGCCTATGATTTTTTTTTTCCTATAAAACACATTGAAGGTTTATTGACACCTGTCAAAATCCAAAAAACAATGTAGACAATGTTATTGTTATTATTTTTTTGCTGATTTTAAATTCGCGACGATTTCGAACAAAATAACAATGGGAAGGTTCAGTGATTGACGGCAGTGAGATGTTCCACAGGGCCGAATGCCAGAAAGGCAATTTCCTGGAGCAGACTAAAGCTGCCAGAGAAGAAAGGGCTTTGGAGAAGAGGAAGGATGAGGCTGCTATCAAAATCCAGGCCTTGGTTAGAGGATGGCTGGTCAAGAAAAAATTTACCAACAGAATTATGTGAGTATGGAATATTTTGTATGTAAGCAAGTAAAAATAATTAAGTATTCATTTAGCTCTGAATACGATGAGTTTATACCAGAGATCCATGAGGATGGCTCCCAGAAGGTGGCTTATAAATCTGCAGTGCAAGTATATCATGTCTCATATAGATTCATGATGGTGTGGAATGCAGAGAGAGATTCCGAAAGGTTGGTCAAGCTATGCAGATATCTGGTGGCCAGTTTAGAGCATAACTCACCAAAATTCAGTTATGTTGGGGTGGCTTTGAACAAGGATTATGTTCTTCGATGGATTTCACATATGAACAACATTCTGTGGAAATGCTGTGAATGTTTGGAGGAATTGAGGCCAGAATATCCTAGTGACATGAAGACAATCTTAGTCTTTTTGCATACACTTGTTTCATACACAAGTAGCAATACTTGGGTGGTGCTGAAGAATAAGAATATGGAGAAACTGGGACCTGGCATGAATCAACTTTGTGCAAACCTCATGGGAAATTTGTTTCATAGAAGATTTTATATTATTTTGAAGGTGATTATTTTCTTTATTAGCAAATTTGAGTTATAACTAATTATTGTTTTTTTTTTTAGAGTTTGCTTCTTAAAGGACTTGGAAGGAATAAGATCACCTTCAAGAACGTGTCTTTAACGGCAATCTTGACTTTATCGTTGAGACCGTTGATTTCCGCGAATTTCTCGGATAAATTAATGACGATGTTTCTGATTCACATCCTTTCTGTGCCTGGCTTAATCCAGCACTTGAACACCTTAGCACCAGAGGTAATATATCCATGAAAACATCATCAATGTTATATAATTAAGTAATTGTTTACAGGTAGTAACGACACTTTCATCTCACAATATTTTTGCTAAAAGCTTGGAGCTATTGTCCAGCCAACAATCCATGCGGATCGTCTTCAATACGCTTGAAGGAAACTACGCGTTATGCCTGATGGCAAACCTTCTGCAGCTTGGTTCCATTTGCAAAGATTCGATGTTAGCCGAATTGAGCTTTCCCACATTCACAGTAAATCAAACACATCATAACAATATTTCCTATTTTACTTACTTATATTTTTTTTCTCAAGGTCGTGATGACTGGTTTATTGGAGAGTTGTCAAAATTACGTGGTTAATAAACAATCCAATTTAACCCATTGGCATCCTGTGCTGGGTTGGTTTGCCCAACCCATGGATCCTGCTTTACATGCAGCTATGCCGCATGTTAAAGTCCAATTACACATCTTGTGGAGTTCCCAAATCATATCAATTCTTTTAGGTAAAAGATATAATTCTCGTAATGGATCATTTTATATTATTATTGATTATTTCCTCAGGTGATTTCTTGAGCGGAATGGTTAAAGGCGTGGAAGCACCAAAGGCAAGCACAAGTCCAAGCCACAATTCCACTGCGAACTTCTTGAAAAAAGCATTGGAATCACGTAGCAACAAGACGAATTCGATTAAAACGTATAGGACTTTAGGCAGTCCTGATGTGCACAGGGTCGTGCTCATATGTTCCATGTATCACACAGCTTTAAATACTTTGAATCAACTCAAATTGGACATTCTAACAGGTAAATAATTTATAAAATCTCAAAGAAGAACTGTAACATTATTATTTGTTTTAGGTCTTTGTTATCAGGGTGGAGTTCTGTACAACCTGTGGCTTTTCCTCTGTTCGCTCGGACCAAACTGCGGCTTGAAGACATTCCTCGATCATCTGGCCTTTAACACGAAGTGCACGGCTCCCGAATTCCAAATGCTCCAACTCATAGCCGACTGTATGACCCACTATGTTACGTAATTCGGAAAAGGCTGTGGTGTGACGGGCGATTCGATACTGATTTTTTTTATTTTTTTTCTTGAAGGATCCTCGACGACATGGAGATGTACGAGCACCAAGATCCGTTCAAGATCAACGACTTTATCGTCATGTCGAATTTCCTCAATGTCTTTCTGCATAAAGCGGTGCTGGGAAATCTGTTTGGTAATATTTGCTTATATTTTATATCTTACTTTAAGCAGTTTCCATTACGAATTCGTTAGTTTAGTACAGGAACGAAATGATCGAATGATTCCAGTATTTGCAACGTCTTTACAGATATTGTCTTAATTGATGATATTCTGCTATATTGTAAGTTGATCTACACAATACAGACATACTTTCATCGTTAGATGCTAATTACACAACAGCTCATGACATCTGTTATCTGAGTGTATAAGATTACAGAACTTCTTGTAACATCATCGTATTTATAATACTAACATCATAAACGCATAAATCAAAGTTTTGTTGAAGAATTCTTCAACTTTTCGTAAATATAAAACAAATAGTAGCCCCCTCCATATACACACTGTTAAAACAATCAGCATTCGATTAACGTACTAATACATAACTAAATTTATGAATGCTATGTGAATATGCGTATATTGGAAGATTTGTGTTCGTTCGCACGAACGTACTCGACATTCATACGAACGTACAGTTTTTTCGTTGGTCTTCGACTGGTTTTTGTAAACGAATTGCATATTTCAACTTTATTTTTATGTGAGACTTTGATATTACTTCTTTTTTTCTTAAAAGAGTTTTAGAAAAAACAAAACAGATAAACCTTCAATTTGATAGAAGTTAAATATTTTTATTTCAGTTCTTAAATAATCATGTACTTTAAGAGAATGCTAATGTTAAATAGTTTTTAGTAATATTGAAGCAAAGTAGCATAAAAATAATTCTTTATATTTTACAATGTTTTTTTCCGCTAAAGCTAATTGGAATTTTGTTTATAGATTTAAAGACAATACAGTCGAATACTCTCGTTCAATCGCTTCACACACTGCTGATGGCTCTGTATCGTCGGGATTGCCGCAGGAATTACGCTCCGCAAGGGCATTGGTTGCTGAAGGACGTGCGAATCAGCGCGTTCATGATGGACCTGGAGAAGGGAAAGAGGGCGCCTCAACTTCTTCTGCAAACTATGCCGCACATTATTCCGCACGAGGATAGGGTTCGACTGTTTCGGAAGTATATTACCAACGAAAAGACAGTCTTAGGTTTAACGGAATCGGCTTGCGCCTCACCACAATCCACCCTGATCACCGTCCACAGATCGAGAATCGTTGAGGATGGTTACAGACAACTGGCCATGCTTCCGCCGCAAGCCTTAAAAGGTGTAATTCGCGTCAGGTTCATCAATGAGCAAGGCTTAGATGAGGCCGGAATCGATCAGGATGGCGTCTTCAAAGAGTTTTTAGAGGAGAGCATTAAGAGAGTGTTCGATCCGTTTTTGAATCTGTTCAAAGCCACCAGCGAAGAGCGTCTGTATCCATCACCAACTTCGTACATGCAGGACAATCACTTGCAGCTCTTTGAATTTGTGGGAAGGATGCTGGGAAAAGCGGTTTACGAGGGAATAGTTGTAGATGTTCCATTTGCCAGCTTCTTCCTCAGCCAGGTGTTGGGGCAGACCGCCCAGGCGCTTTACAGCTGCGTGGATGAGCTACCATCATTAGACGCTGAAGTCTATAGAAGTTTGAGTTACGTTAAGCACTACAAGGGAGATGTTTCCGAATTGGATTTGACCTTCAGCATCGACGAGAACAATATGGGTAGACTTGTTACCCACGAATTGATACCGGGTGGTAAGGCGATACCTGTCACCAACGAGAACAAGATCAACTACATCCATCTGGTCGCTCATTTCCGGATGCACGTGCAGATCAAGGACCAGACATCAGCTTTCATACGCGGTTTCCGATCCATCATCAATCCCGACTGGCTTTCAATGTTCTCAACACCCGAAGTACACCGAACCCATCATTTATCTTTCATACCAAAATATCTAACAATTATTCTTCTCCAGTTGCAGAGATTGATATCCGGTGATAACGTTCCGCTCGATCTGCGGGACCTGCGGAAAAACACCCAGTATTACGGCGGTTTCCACGATTCCCATCGCGTGATCGGTTGGCTTTGGGATATTCTGGACAAGGATTTTACAGAAGATGAAAAGGCAATGTTCCTTAAAGTAAGTACACTTTCCCACACCGCGATCGCATTGTGAAAGCTTTGCAATTCTCGGTATGCGCAGGTAATTGAAGAAGAAGAACAAATACGCAGGTGCCTTTTTGTCGGCAATCTGCTCAGGTAGGAAATTCTGTTTTTGCAGCAGGTGGTCCTTTCCTAAATCTATTTTTGAAGTGATTTTTTTCTTCAATGCAGTACATACTTTCATGAAGCTTTTACAATATTTTGAAGAAAGCTTTTATTTGAGGATTTAAAACTCAATGTATTTTTATGCACTGAAGAATTTGGTACATTTTCTATTTAAATTCCTTTGTCCAAAAAAATCCATTGAGATCCAAACTGAACGCTTTAAGAAGCTTCGTTTATAGTAAATCTAGAAAGAAACTTGTTAACACAATAATATAAATATAGTTTGTCCTTACTTTTGATATTAATATTAATAACAATATTTATTGAGACAATTATAGACAAGAAGTCTTGTTTCAAAAAAGTAAACATTATTTTCCCATTCAAATAATAAGAAAAGTAATCGTTGACAGTTTATATTGGAAATTTACTACCATAGATAATACTTACAGTTGATAGTTTAGAGGCGTCAAAAAGGGGGTAGAAAATGTGCCGTAAACATAAAATTGACCAGAAGTTCATATAATACTTTAGATAAATATTTTTCTTAAATAATAATAACAATATCGATCATTAAATTGCAATGTTCAAATTGTAGTTGTCATTAATGGCATTAAACAATATTTAAAGAAAAGTTAATCGATGTTTTCTATATCAATATTTTAAGGATGTAACTTATTTATTAACATAGAAATATATTAAATAATATCAACGATATCCAGCATCTGGATTTTTACTTTAAAACATTTAAAAAGTTTATGAAATTATCAAAAAAAATGTATAATCAATGGTTTAAAAAAATCTTTGCACAACAGATTAATTACATTTTTTTCAACCAGAAAATGAATGATCGATATATTTTTAAATAATGAGTTACTAACTGTTTCCTGAAATGTGTCTCTAATCAGAGAGATAATAATGTGTGACTTGTCAATTTATAATAGCTGCCAGTATTTAAAACAATATATCAGTATACAAGGATTGTCCCACCTCTACTTATGTAAATACTATAATAATTAATAAATTAGGTGACAAATATAGACATACTTAAAAAAAATGGTCTGTGGCCCCAACTGTTAATTTTGTCACCATCCGCTGTTATAATAATGTTTTTATTGTTTACAGTTTGTTACGAGCTGTTCGAAGCCACCTCTTTTGGGTTTTGCACATTTGGAGCCGCCATTCTCTATCCGCTGCGTGGAAGTCGGAGATGATGAGGATACAGGAGACACAATAGGTACCTTTCGAATTGTTATGGGATAATAGAGTTTCCTTTTTCTTTATCTCTGCATTATTTCCATTGGAATTGTAGGTAGCGTGATCCGAGGATTCTTCACCATCCGAAAACGGGATCCGCTGAACAGGCTGCCAACATCTTCGACTTGCTTCAATCTGTTAAAGCTGCCCAATTACCAGAAGAAAAGCACTCTGAGGGAGAAGCTTAGGTACGCGGTTACCTGCAATACAGGTTTCGAGTTGTCCTAAATTGTTCCTTTCAATATTTTCGGTTTTTTTTTGTGAAAAAAAGGAAAAGGAGCAAGTAGAGAGAAAAAGAAAAAAGCGTTTAATTTTTCCGGTTATTTGGATGTTATATTTATTGTACATAGGAGTAAACACTATTTGGTGAATTGAATGTTTGTGCCTGTTTAGAAGGGAGTGTAGGCAATGGAAAATGTATATCATTTTGAGGTATATCAATGCGAATATGATGAGATTTATTTATATACATATATTTAGATGTATTTTTCCCGTGTTGCCTTCGTGTAATTTAATATTGAGGTGTACGCCGTGCAAGAGTGTGAATGAGATGTTGATATATTATGGTTACGGCGTAAATGTTCGAGGTGTAGTTTTTTTTCCCCGTGTTGCCTTTCTTCAATAAAATAAAACCGAAGACACGCCCATCCACGCATGCTAGACTCCACCCATACGACTGTTTTCTTGTCCCGTTGCGTCCTCCGTGTACCACGGGATGTTTAACAAATTCGTCCATGCATCAATATTATTGGAACACACACAAATTAAATAAAAGGATTGTAATTTACGGTTGCTACGTCGGATTGGATTTTTTTGTTCTAGAAATTGGAAACACCCTGTATATATACATATATTTATAATTGAATTGAGCAGTTTTAATTTACTAATAAAAAAAGTATGGTTATCTGAAAAGTAAAATAGTTTTGTTTCTTAAATCCTTCATTAATTGCTTCTATTTATTTGGTCAGTATTTAAAAAAACTATTTGTATTTTAAATAAATAGTCAGTAATTATATTAAAATATTAATACAAATAGTTGGAATCAGGGCCGCATTAATGTTGTTGTGTATTATTTATAAAACACATAATGTGTCAGTATTGTATTGAAATTTATTACCAAAGTAACCTAACCTGAAATTGATTTATGATACTGACAGTTAAAAACTTTTGGTATTTTAATGAAAATATTTGTAAAAATGATAATTTGTCAGTATTTATACAAAAAAATACACGTGACAACATAATGTGTCACTATTGTATTGAAATTGATTACCAAGGTAATCTAACCTGAAATTGATTTGTGACACTGACAGTTAAAAACTTTTGGTATTTTAATGAACATATTTGTAAATATTATAATTTGTCAGTATTTATACAAAAAATACATGTGACAACATAATGTGTCAGTATTTTATTGAAATTTATTACCAAGGTAACCTAATTTGAAATTGATTTGTGACACTAACAGTTAATTAGTCATTCTAATCAAAATTCAGAAAGACTTAGGTATAATTTAAGATCAATTAAAAGTGCAAACTACATGACTTAATGAAAATAGAAGTTAAATATTAATATCCAACAGATTATTGTACAAAACGGGTCTATATCGGAAGCCCGACAAACGAAAGACCGTCTACCATAATCCCGACAGTGTCTTTTTTTATTATAATTTCTACAATAACATTTTTAAATTATTCTACTATATTTTAATAGTTACGACGGATACTGAAAAAAAATATTTTTAAGACCTAGGTCGATGGCTCTTTTATCCGATTATTAATTGTTGTTATTTATTCTTAATAACAATAAATAATATTAATTATTATTGTATTTTTTTTTTTCAAGAATAAGAAATATTCTATAATAAAATTAGTTTATGTTATTAACAATAAATAACAACAATTAATAATCTTATTAAGTTTTAGATTGTCGGGATTTCGATACACTCGGGATTTCGATAGACGGGATTTTGGTTGTCGGGCTTGCGATTGCCACCGGTACAAAACACATAAATCTATACACACCAGTAATATAAATTCAACTTTAGAACTTTTTTTTTAAATAAAATTAGGAGTGCGTCATATACACCTAAAAATATGATAAAGATAACCTTTTGTTCTCTCTCCAATAATTTGAATCAGTAATCAGGAAACCTTCAATGATTTATTTGTTTAGTTTTTTTTATACTTTTTTCAATCGTCATACATCAAAATAATTGTATACTCATCATATTTTTATTAAGAAAATAAAGTATATTTCTATAATTAAAAATCATATTACATATTTTTATATGTTTTAAATTCAATTTTGACTCAAGAAGCTAATTAATGTTAAACAATGCATATTTCAGATTTAAAATATATAACATACACAGACTTTAAACCTCGCATAGTGCGGATTTATTATAGTTTAAAAAATTAAAAACAAACTGAATATTAATTGAGCAAAATAAAAATATATACATAAGTGATTGTGTTGTTTATTTTATAATCCTCAATTAGTTTCAAGATTTCAAACACTGCGGGAACTGATTACCCGCACTATGTGAGGTATTGCTGTATTTCCTAAAAGTAGTTATTCGTGTATATCATGGTTTCATTAGTAGAAAATATGTTGAATTAGTAATTTCTTCGGTTATCCTTCTGAAGTAATTATGGATTAAGAAGAAAAAAGTAAGGTATGTAAGAAATAAAAATACTCGTTATGCCATAAAAGTAAATGTAAAAAAATCCTTACTATAGATTACTTGTGTTGCATATCCGGGTACCCGCAGAAATAATACCGGCTCGACTATATTAAGATTCTTTTTTTTTACTTTCTAATTAAATTATTAGTAGCCAATAATTAATGTGTATCCGTTTTGTTACTTCTTCGTGAAACGTCGCACGGTCTGAAAACATTAATTCAGTTGACATTTGTATTTGAAATACTTCCATTTCGTATTAAGTACCAATTTTTATATTTAATTTAATGTTTGTCACGTTAAAATTTTGTAATTAACAAAGTTTGTGTAACAAATCTATTTTATTCAAGAAATTTTGATGAAACTAGAATTACATTGAGGAAGTAATCATTCATGTTATACAACTTGATCTGATTGTTTTCGCTGAAGATGTTGAATTCCCAGAACGAATAATTTTGATATTTATAACTAAAATGTTGTGGAGAACGAAGAATAGGTCGAACCGGAACGGATCCTCACACGATGACAGTTGGAAAATTAACTGAAGGCCTTAAACTGGCTGAGATCGGTCTGAAGGTTCCAGAAGAAATCGATTTGAATGAAGACCGAGCAGAAATTGCTAGCTAGACACGGCTTAAAGACGATCACCTGTTACAGTGGAATTTTACACGGAAGACAAATCTTTAACACCGAAATCTTCAAAAGAAAGTATGACCACTGTAGAAGAGATGACATTCTTAACTAATTAATTTTCATACATACATAGAGCGACAGTTATTACAAAATGTATTTTTTTAATTAAATAAATAAAGCTATTCATATAACATAGAGTTTATTATAACACACAAATTTTGTATTAAATTATCATCAATTGTGTAATTTCATATTATGATGTTGTATGAACTTTTCTGTTTTGACATACGTCAAGTCATTGGTGTCACTATTATATGAAATACTTTTTGATTATGACACTGCAATAAGTGTATGATGTCAAATTTGACATATATTCAAATTATGTAATTGTTTTTTTATTGCTTAACTATAGATTTGTTCAAGCTATTCATTTACTTTAAAGTTTTTGTTTTTCAACAATCTGGTAAGTCTAACTCAAGATAAATATTTTTTTGCAATACAGGTAGAACTTCTTTTCTGAGGGTGACTTTTAGTCTTTTCTAGTCAATGTAATGTGCATTTCTGTGGCTTAAAAATACAATGAACAATTACAATGATAGTTTTTCATCTTTTTCAAAGTTTTGCTAGAACTATTGAAATTGGAATTTAGCTTTTCCTAGACTTGCATTATTCCGGTTATTTATTTTATAAATTTTCAAAAGATTTAGTATGAATTGAGTGATAGTAAAACAAATTTCTGCTTCTAAAATGCTTATCCATATGTATAGAAATATCTCTATGTATTTATATATTTCTTTCTGTTCACTTTTTGTATGAATATTTAAAGTAAAGTAATAAGTAAAGTACATGCACAAATTTAATAATAATGATTTTCAGCTGTAAATTTTATAACTTTTAAGAGATAATTTAATAATTTTTCTTATAGATATTAATTCAATTTACTTATAATATGTTTTTTTTGATAATTCATTAAATAAATCAATAATATTTAAGAATTCGACAAAGTACGTTCCTCAATTTATCGCGTAGGATAAATCCACGTGGATTAAAATCGCGTTAATAAAGTCGTAAGTACAACCAACAAAAAAATAGAAAAAGTTTTGAAAATACATATTTGTTTCATATAGTTTATCAAAAAATAATTATAACATTTGAGAAACACGATTTAATTTTATTTGGTGTCATTATCGCTATTAAAAACAAACAAACTTTTCTTTCTAATTGCAACAAACTCATCATGTTCATCGCTTAGAAGTTTGACTTCATTTTCATTATTAATGTATTTTTTTTCGGATGATTTTATATGAATACAGGTATCCCCCGACTTACGAATTAGTTCTGTTCCAAAAGGTTGTTCGTAAATCGATACTTATCTTGCCATAATTTTTACTTTTATATATGTTAAATTCCGTATTACTGACTGCATACATTTGAAAAAATAAATTAAAATAAACAAAATACTTACAAATACTTTCCAATTATTTAATAAAAAAATGACAAAAGAAACAAATGCAACAAAACAGATAGTACATCTTCCACAAATATTATATTTTATTAAAGAAATTATCAATTTCTGTTTGGACAGTTAATTTGCAACAAGTTAAATTTTGTCGTAATTTCATGAATGTTTGGATCAATGTCTAGAAATGCATTTTCCAAGAGTTTTACAAAGATTTTATGCAGAAAAATTGCAATTATAATAAGGAGTTTTTGCAGTATCAATTTATGCGTAAAAATAGTTAACGGAGGGACACCTGTAGTTTTAATAGATTCCGACCAATTCAGACGAATGGAGGAGGAAGATTTGCAATAGTTCGTATTAGATAAACATGGGTCATCAATCAATCTTTCGTGTGTATTTGCTATAATTCATTAATGAAATCATAATAAGTTATTTTTGAATTGAATTGATTGTGCTGCAGCGCTACCTATCGGTCACGCGTCTTATCGATTCCGCATCGCCATGGAAACCCCATAAACAACCTATGATGGGTCATCTCGGCGGAGCAATTCTCGTCTCTATGGATGAAATCCGCGAACGTCGGTTCCGGATCAGCGACGGAACGAACAAAGAAAAAGGATATGGGAACGAGATGTTTGATACAGCCGCCTTTCATGATCCGGCCGCGATGACCGATGATGATGGGTTCTTGGGTTCAATTTCGGCAGAGCCGTGTGACGTCACGTCGCAATCAGCTGACGAACGTGTGTGAACCGGATTGCCACAGCGGTGGGGGCGGGGTGGGGACGCGTTCGGCGCTAACGTCGGGTCGGTGGTCCTCTCGCCATTACTGAAATCAGTCAGTGCGAGTCAGAGGCGCGTGCAGTGCAGTCGTCGATCTAACCTAACCTATACACAATACAAGAGCAAACGACGAGACAAGATCACAATCGAAAAAAAAAACGGAAAGGGGGTTAGAAGCAGGACGGCTCCACTCTGCACGAAGGGCGCGCATACATACCTACCGTAGGGACGAGCATCGACGGTGGACGCTCGCGTTTTATTATTATTTCCCCCTGTCGTTACGTTTTCGTTTGTATCCGAAACATATTACTGCTTCGTCCTCTGCAGAAATTTTGTTAGATAGAGAGACAGAGAGAGAAGTGTACGGATCTCTCTTTGTCCATTTTATGTGCATGTGCTCGTCTTCTGATCATTCACAATAACTTCCTCTCCCAGATACGAGAGGAGGTAGCCTTTTTGGGAGAACCCGAGGTCCTTCGTCCGTGTCGTCGGCTTCTCACGCGTTATCCTCTCCCATCCGTTTGCGCTGCTGTTCATACAAAGAGAGTAGAGTACGTGACGTCTGGAGGGCAACGCGGTTAGATCGAGCGGAGTGTGGGATAAAGCGCGCGGCGCGCCTAGAAGCGAACGAACAATCGTCTGGATAAGAGTCCCAGCTGAGCAGCAACCCTCCTACAGCTACTGCTGATACTCGTTCGTCCTCCGTCGAGTCCTGGTGGTATGCGTTCGGTTTTGCCGCAGCAGTAGACGCAGAGAAAACTTCGCGTAACGCGCGGAGGTGCGGTGTTAGCTGGAGGAGAAGAGCTGGTGGTGCAACGTTTGATGGCTGTGGTCGGGCCGAGCCGCCACTCGAGAGGAGGGTCGATGTCTGTCTCGATGTCCCTTATGCAGGGTGCGGCGGGACCCACGGCCGGTGCCCAACAGGGCGGCCTCCACGCTGCTCAACCTTATTACCATCCCCAGCATGCTGCTGCTCCTGCTCACACCCAAGAGCAAGTGCAGCCGGATAGACCGATCGGCTATGGTGCTTTTGGTGTTGTTTGGTAAGTCACAACTTCTTATACTTAGAATAACAATATTTTTACAATGATCTCATTAACATTTCAATTTACGTAGATATATCGAATTGGAATACCTAACTAGTATCAACTACATATAATAACAACTATTCTCAATTGGAACAAAGAGAAATATTTAAATGTATTGAAGAAATTATTTTATTTTTATAAATAACTTTAACTTACTTTGTATAATAAAATAATTTAAGATTATACTAAGAAAAAAATAACTACAAAATTGGGGTGCGTCTTGTGGTCTTTTATGTAATATTAATATATTTAAATAACATTTCACAATTAAAACAAAGAGAAATATTGTTTTAAATAAATCGTTTTATATTCAGAAATTTTTAAAGATTAGAACATTTATAATTCAATAGCGAACAGAAAGTTGGCATAGTTTCTTTTAATTTCTATTTAAAGACGAAAATCAGAAATGACAATTTATAAATCTAAATTGTATAAAAAAAAGTATTAATGACTATGTGTAACACATTGATATTAATTATAACGTTATAAAGAAATTATTATTTTCCAAAATTTATTATAGAAACTGACAGAAACAGGAAAATTGTTGCATTTTGTTTTGTATATAGAAAACATTAAATGATATAATTAAACAATTTAGCAAACGACATTAAAATGTATGTAAAAACAATATTTTGTCAATGATTAATTGATTTTCGTTACAATTAGTGATAGAGTTTAAAATAAAAGAAAAAATATATAATTAATATTTTTCTATTTGTGGAATTTTTACTATTTTTAATGTTGATATTGTAACAACACTTTGGACGAAAAGTTTCTTGATTTGAAGACACAATTTAATGTTATATTTTTAGTGACAGTTTTTGAATATCCAAAAATCTCATTTTATGTAGAAGTAAAAACATATTTTTTTTACTGAAAAATATGTATGTAGATTTAAAAACAAAATTTTGTTAAAATTGTATGGTATTAAACTGTTTAGTCTAAAGTTTTGACGTCTACTTTAATTGTCGCCATTAAAATGATTTTTTTTTTAAATAAATGTTTCAAAATATTTTGATTGTTTTCAAGAATATTTCAATTGGTAGGATTTATGTTTGCAAACAACTAAAGATTAAGAATCTGAATGGAAAAATACTCTTAACTAGAACAAAAAAAAAAACATAAAAGATTACAATTTTTTTGGAATAATTACTAAAATTTCGTTGATAACAAACGGAACAGTAATTTATTTTCCATTGTTGATTAGTCAGATCTGGGATGAATGAAATGATAGTAATTTCAAAGCAATTTAAAACTCGTTTCGTGGCAATCGCAATAAAATTTTAATAATAATACGAAAATTTACCAAAATCTTTTTTGCATACTATATTAATTACGCAAATAATTGTGCTTTATTACTTCAGTTTTATATACAAATAAAAATAAAACATTTCAAATAATTTCATTTTATATCATCAATATGTTGCATATATTTAAAATATTAATAGTAATTAAAATTTCTAAGAAAAAACTTCAATTATTAAAATTATAAAAAAACAAAATATTATTTTTCTGCATTAAAATTGTTGTTTCTAAAAATTGTTATAACAACCGCGTTTTCCCCATGCGTATTTTCCTTTTTCCAAGTATTACAGATTTTTTTTTTCTCTCTGTCAGGCAACTTTCCGTATGAATCATTTCATATATCTTTTATTTTCCTCATAGGGTTTCTTTTTCAATGCTAATTATGTATGAATCGATATATTCAGTTTAGGAAATATTCATAATAGTTGTGAAAGACGTATGAATCACATACATATATTCAACTTGCTTAAGATAAAAACGTAATTCATAACTTGAATTATCTTTTGGAAATATTAATACACTCTATTTTCGTACTCTAGTTTGCAAGTAAATTGTGTATATTTATGTATAGAATACTCGCATGAATTACAATATTTGGTATCTGCAGATACGAACCAGTTAATAATGATACTTTTTATATTTACAAATTATTTTCTTGCTCAACTCTGGCGATACTAGACTCCTTAGATAAGATTGTAATAAAATCTGTCCGTTGAATCATCTCACGAGAGTGGCTTTCTCCATTTATACATTACTGTAAGCAAAACAAAACGAAGTCTTATTTTCTGATAATAGTTGCCATGACAATTGTCCAGAATAATGTACATTTTCATTACATTTCCTTATTATTAATGAGAAAATGTAACTGAAATAATTCTAAATCGATGAATTTAATTCGTTTACATTAGTTATTTAAATATGTACGTGTTTTATTAAAACAACGTAATTTTTTACGAATAAATATTATCCATGAAAATTCTAAGAAAAAAATTGAATTGGTACAGTTAGAACTAATTGGAATTATTATCTTTTCAAATTATTTGAACCAATACTTATAATAGATTATGACAATTGTCAAAACTGTCAACTGTCAATTTTTGTTTACTTTGCGTTGTATAAATAACATTATTTGAAGCATGTCTCATAATAAATTATGACAGTTGACAAGACTGTCAATTTTTGATTACTTTGTATTGTATTTGTATACATAACATTATTTGAAGGATGTCTTATAATAGATTATGACAATTGTCGAAACTGT